TAAATTTCTTAAAAAGTAATGTCCTACACGGTGTACGCAGAGGTAAAGTTAGGTGACCAGGTGTACCATAGTGAGCTGCGATTGTTACAAGGGCTGGCCGACAGAGTAGTGAAAGGGAAGGACTAACTGACGAAGGCTAACATGGAGTTACGGTATGGAGAGCAAGCATTAACGTTGCAAACGGACAATTTATGGCAAGGAGCAGTCACGTGTACAAGTATGGTCGAAGAAGAGCACGAATACCCCGCTGAAGCCGTCAAAACCAAACAAACAGCCCCGTTAATGGGCAACGCAATAAATTCCTCAGTGAGTGAGTTCCTTAACCGTGAGTTGCAGGTGTTCAAGGAGATTTCAGGAGTATAAAATATTGCGACGCACAAGACGATAGACCGAGGAAACAGCAGTATTTTTCCAAGAACCCAAATATGCGGGAAATCATTAACAAGCAGATCGATGAACTCATAGAAAAGGGCTGCACTGAACCATCGCATAGCCCACACAGTGCTCCCATAGTTCTCACAAGGAAGAAGAACGGCAAATGGAGGCTCTGCGTCGACTATCGCCAGCTTAATGCCTGGTCCGTACCAGATGACTACCCGTTGCCGCGCATCGAACATATCTTGGATCGGTTAAGGAGCACCCGCTTTATCAGTACTCTAGATCTCAAGAATGGATATTGGCAAATCCCCATGGAGGAGAACAGCAAGCAATACACTGCATTCACATTGCCCGGACGCGGACTATTCCATCGGAAGGTAATGCCGTTTGGTCTGAACTCGGCTCCAGCGCCCTTCCAGAGAGCGCTCGATCGCGTCATCGGACTAGAGTTAGAGCCGCACACGTTCGCTTATTTAGATGAGTACCACACTGGAAGAGCATGCACGGCATCTAACGAAAGTGTTACAGCGGAAAAGTTGAGCCAACCTTATCAGTCCAGAAAAGAGCGAGTTCTTTAATAAGAGTCCCAGACAAGATCGCGGCCATCAAAGAGTCTCATAGTACAGGAGGTTCGTTCCCGATTTCTCGCGCGTTTCACATTCGCTGACATCGATGTTGAAGAAGGGCAGCAAGTGGAAGTGGTCCGAGGAACAGCAGGAGGCATTCGAGGCTCTAAAGAATGCGCAGATAGAGGCAAGTGATTTCGGTCTCGGCGCAGTCCTTACTTAGAAATTAGAAGACGGGGAACGAGTGATAGCGTATGCGAGCCGACGGCTGACTAATGCGGAGACGAAGCAATAAAAAATTGCCAGTGGAAGGCCGCATAAGGCAATTTTTCGCCTTTTTCAACTATACGCGTTGGCACCACTGACCGATCAAGACAGCTGCAATAAACAAGAAACATACAAGAATGACATAATAAAGTGGAAATGTCTTGCAATTTGCAAATAATATTAAATGAAAAGTTCGGGATAACGTTTTCTCGTGAAAAGCACAGTTCACCGCGTAATGGGAACTGATATAAATACCGGTCCGCGACCGTCGAGAAACAAAAACGCGAATTCGAGGAAAACTGGGTGCAGACCAAGGCTACGCTCGCGAAAACTACACTGCGGGTGCATTTGAGGCGATTAACGCTGCAAGAGGAGCGGTCGAGTGCGACATTGACCATGCCAATACTAGCACGCAGGTATTCGAGCGCAACAGCAGTAACGGTGAGTGTGAGATAAGCAGCCCACAATTTTGGCAGTTAGGAAATTTTAGCAGCTATGGCGAGGACGTGGCGGCAGTGTTTAGAGCCCCGACACCTATCACCTTATCATCGGAGAGCGATGCAGAGGAGGAAGATTGTCCACAGCGGCGAGGCGAATTGTCGGTAAGCCAAGAAGACATTGAGGTGCGTGGTCAGGGGTTTTCAGATTATACGAGGCGCATCGAAATGCGGAACTTTGACGGACTTGCGCGAGTTTAAGTTATTGACCAGAAATAGTCATCTTTCACACAGATTGTGTTTAGAGAATAATGAACCATATTTTTGCTATTACCAATAAAAAATTCTAAAAAAACGGACTTCGGCGCACGCTAATGTACAATGAGCTAGACATTTATAAAAAAATATTAATTTTTAAATAAAAAAAAGAAATATAGCCAATACAGGTCAAGAAAGGGAGTTTCTATTATTGCCATCAGTGCAAATTACAAATCCCGAAAATCCCGGGATTATTGGCCAAGAATCCCAGGATTTCCGGGACCTAAAAAAGGCCAAGATCCCAGGAATAACATTCATAATATGTACATAGTACATGTTTATTTGTACAAATGTACTAATCGCGTGATATGATGTTGATTCAAACTCAAACTTGAAAACTTATTAACATGTATGGCTGTAGCTGAGTGTGCAAAGATGATTGATACAATTTTTTCTGCCAAGAGTGTCCAGGTTCAATTCCAATCAGACGGAACATGAAATTTAATTTTTTTTTTAGATTTAAGAACTGCACAGCGACACAAGTAAAAATGTGTATACTCACATTTAATACAAGTTGGGTTGGTTCTCTTTCATATGCGATTTTTTTTTTTAAATTAGCACGTTTTTTTTTATTCTCAATTTTTTCCCCCTCAGTGATGAGATGAGTTTTGTGTTCGCTTTTTCGCCATTTTTAAAAAACCGTTTTTCTAGGTTTTTGAAACAGCAATTTGAAACAAAACCCGCTTCCCCATTTTTTAATTCAACTTCATCCGGATTTGTGGTCAATTGGACACTGTTTTTGATTTCATTTCGTTGTTAGATAGATGAAATTAAAAAAAAAATGTACTTCATATCTCGGATTATTACCTAAATCATATACAAATTTTGTATTTTTTTCTATTATGGCATTCTAAAAAGTCCCGTTCTTCTTCTTTATTGGCGCTGTAACCGCCTAAGCGATTTTTGGCCGAGTCCAAAACAGCACGCTAGTCATTTCTCTTCTTTGCCAAGTGAAGCCAAGTCCTTCTCCACCTGGTCTTTCCAACACAGAGGAGGCCTTCCTCTTCCTCTGTTACCAGCAACGCGGCCCGCGTTGAATATTTTCAGAGCAGGAGCGTTTATGTCCATTCGAACGGCGTGGCCAAGCCAGCGGAGCCGCTGAATTTAAATCGCTGCACTATGTCCATATCGTTGTAAAGCTGATACAGCTCATCGTTAAATCGTCTGCGATATTCGCCATCACCAACGCGTAAAGGTCCGTAAATCTTTCGCAAAATCTTTCTCTCGAAAACTCCAAGATCCGCCTCATCAGATGCTTTCATTGGCCATGCCTCCGCGCCATACACCAGCACAGGCATGATGAGTGACTTATAGAGTATGATCTTTGTACGCCGAGAGAGAACTTTACTTCTCAATTGCCTACTCAGCCCAAAGAAGCACTTGTAGGCAAAAGTGATTCTCTATTGGATTTCAAGGCTGACATTATTATTGGTGTTAATCCTGGTTCCCAAATAAACGAAGTCGTCTACTTTTTCAAACTTGTAACTGTCAACAGTGACGTGGGTGCCAAGACGCGTATGCTCTGACTGTTTGTGTGATGACAGGAGATACTTCGCTTTGTCCTCGTTCACGACCAGACCCATTCGCTTTGCTTCTCTATCCAATCCGGAGAAGGCAGAACAGACGTAGCCCTTTTTTTACCAATAATATCGATGCCGGCATACGCCAGCAGTAGTACGCTCTTGTAAAGTATTGTGCCTGAGTGGTTCAGTTCTACGGCTCTTATTATCTTCTCCAACATCAGATTAGAGAAATCACATGAAATGGAGTCACCTTGTCTGAAACCTCGTTTGGTATCAAACGGCTCGGAGAGGCCCTTCCCTATTCTGACGTAGCTGGTGGTATTGCTCAACGCGATTTTACACAGCCGTATTAGTTTCGCGGGGATACCAAATTCAGACATCGCGGCATAGAGGCAACTTCTCTTCGTGCTGTCGAAAGCGGCTTTGAAATCGACAAATAGATGGTGCGTGTCGATCCTATTCTCGCGGGTCTTTTCCAAGATTTGGCGTATTGTGAATACCTGATCTATGGTGGTGGAGGCCTAAAGACACACTGATAAGGTCCAATCAGTTCGTTGACGGTGGGCTTCAGTCTTTCGCACAATACACTTGACCTTATAACCTATGCTTAGAAGGCTGATTCCGCAGTAGTTGGCTGGGTCGACTTTCTTGTGGATTGGGCAGAGCACACTTAAATCCCAGTCGTCGGGCATGCTTCATCTGACCATATTCTGCGTACGAGCTGATGCATGCACCTCATCAGCTCCTCGCCCCCGTAATTGAATAGCTCGGCTGGCAGGCCGTCAGCTCCAGCAGCGTTGTTGTTTTTCAGCCGCGTAATCGCTATTTGTACCTTGTCATAGTCAGGCGGTGGAACAGCTACTCCATCATCATCGACTGGGGACTCGGGTTCGTCTGCTTCACCACATTTAGCGCTGCTACCATTCAGTAGGTTTTAAAAGTGCTCCCTCCACAATTTAAGTATATTCTGGACATCGGTCAAT